CTAGTGAAATTTTTATTCAGATATTATATGTTTCATCTTTAAACATCCTATTTATTTCTATTTCCCATTATCTCTTCTTTATGTTCCTGTACTGCTTTAAAGTTACTGTCTATTAATACCATCATCTCTGTTATTTTTGAGGTCTGTTTCTAATGACTGACTTTTTTGTTGGTGACGGGTCATATTTTCCTGCATCTTCTCATGCCTAGTAATTGTTGATTGTATACTAGATACTTTGATTTTACTTGAGTGTTTAGATTTTGTTATCTTCCTTCAAAGAGTGTTACATCTTGTTCTGGAGAGCAGTTATTTGCAAATATGATATTTTACACTCTTGTTTGTTAGCTTTGTTAATGTATGGTTTAGCTTTTACTCCGACTTCTTTGAAATATCTACTGAATGCCTGCATGTTCAATAATGACACTCTTCTGACTTTTCTCCAAAGTTAAGCAAATATTGTGGCACCATTTATTAAATGGTCATTTTTTCCCCATATACTTCATATCCTTATGTGTAATCATCAACTTTACCATATTCTAAATTTTTATAAAGTAACCTGTTTCTGGCCACCTGATTTCATTGATATTTCTTTTAATTTGTATGCCTATTCCATATGAATTGTAGCTTTATAGTATCTCTCAATTTCTTCAGACAGAAGTTTTCTTGAGAGCATTAATATATTGAGCAAAAATCTTGTTTCAATAATATCTTGTCTCATTTCATTCATTTTTTCTAAAAGAGTCACATACCATTTCTACCTTTATATTCTCTTCTTAGCCCACCTAAGTATGACATCTCTTCCCCGAAAGGTAACGTATGACCTAATTCCTATGCCTGGTAAATGTTAATTTCCTTCCTGAAACTTTCTTTTCCTTTATTCTTCAGGTATTCTTTCTGTTTGTATTTCTTTTAGGACTCTATCTTAATATCCTGTTCTGCTTCTTTTTCCTGTCCTTATGTGCAGTCATACCCTAAAATTCTGACCTTAACTCTGTTTGCAGTTCCTACTAAATTTCTGGGCTATACCTTGCTTCCTTGGTGTCAACAGTATCCTTTATATAAATGACTCACACATTTACCTTTATACCCTTTGGTCCCATAGTTCTGAAGCTGTGCTATCAAGTTCTTATTTAAATGTCAACAGGTCAAAATAAAATCCATTGCTCCTCTGTCTCCATCCCCATTCTTTTCCTTTACACTGCTGGCAGCAACACCTACTCAGCCATCCTTAGGGAAACTTCAACACTGTTGCTCTCTGCCTTTGCACAAATGGTGCAAGCTAGTTCCCTCTGGAATATTGACTCTTGAAAGGTCTGTTACTAGCACTAATGTTCCTCAGAAGCTCTTATCCAGCTCAAAGGTTACTTCTTATATTACCAAACATACTTATTCACTTCTTTATGTGTGCTTTCTATTTTATAACTACATATTTTAGTGGAATTATTTATATATCTGGTTGTTCTAACCAAATAGTGATATTCTTTCAGATTGGTACCATTTCCTCTCATTGTGTCTGCAGCTTTTTCACAGTGGTTGTACCGAATTGGTGTTCAGTAAGTTTTGTTGCACTTTATGAATTGTTTATCTGACTACTGTAGTCTCAGATTTTTTTAATTGATTCTCTAGTTGCTGCCAGAGTTGTGTACTTAAAATTATGCTAATTTTTTTTGGACTTTCCTGGTGGCACAGTGGTTAAGAATCCTCCTGCCAATGCAGGGGACATGTGTTTAAGCCCTGGTCCGGGAAGATCCCACATGCCGCGGAGCAGCTAAGCCCGTGTGCCACAACTACTAAGCCTGCACTCTGGAGCCTGCGAGCCACAACTACTGAGCCCATGTGCCACAACTACTGAAGCCTGTGCTCCTAGAGCCCATGCTCCGCAACAAGAGAAGCCTGCACACCACAACAAATAGTATCCCCCACTCGCCACAACTAGAGAGAGCCAATGCGCAGCAACAAAGACCCAACACAGCCAAGAATAAATAAATAAAATTATGCTAAAATTTTTAACCCAAATGTCTTTGACACTCCTTATCTACAAAATTAATCTCTAAACCATATCATAGCAGTCAAGGTCCTAAACAATCTGGCCTCATCTTTGTGGGGTTTTTTTTGTTTTTTTCTTTTTTTTGCTTAAGTTCTGTCATTATCATGAATGTGTATTATTGTTCTTCAGCTACATTCCCTCCCTATGTGTTGTTTCCTTGCCATTACTATTTTTTTTCTTTAGAATTAATTTCTTCTACATACATCTATTAATTACCTCCTATGTTGATGGACTATACTAGGCTGTGGTCAAAATATTAAGAAGGATAGAACTTGTGGTCAAAATATTAAGGTGGATATTAAGAGGGATTAATTTGTTCCACATACATTTATTAATTACCTACTATGTTGATGTACTATTACTAGGCTGTGGTCAAAATATTAAGATGGATAAAACTTGCACTGTTTTGTATGCTTCCCTTATATTCTCCATTTGTGAAAAATCCATCCTTCAAAACGTGAGATGCTACCTTATCTGTGAAGTCTCCTCAGATCATTCCAATAAAGATTAATCATCCTTTGCCTCCAAAGCATTTTTAATATTGGAATTACAGAATCTCTCATAGCTCTCTTGTTTTTTATCTGTGCATATATCTCCTTCATCGGGTTGAATTTCTTAAGGTCAGGGATTATGTCTTAATCACCATTATATGCCCTCTTTTTCTCTTCCCAGTGTCCAATAACAGTGACTTTAACATAATTGATGCTCACTAAATGGAAAGTTGTTTCAAAGCCAAGGTAGAAACTTAGAAGGAATATTCAGAGAAAATCAGGAGAGTTGTAGTACCAAAGCCAAGGAATGTTTATAAGAAGGAGAGGGTAATAAGTGATGTTCTAAGCTCCAGAACGAGAGGTTCTTGGTTATGTTAACAGGAATAAGTTCCATAAAGTAGCAAGGGTAGACATCAGAGGAGAGCAGATTGAGAAATAAATAGAGTTCTTCTCCTTAAGTAGCTTTTTTTTTTAGCTGATATTTTTACAGAAATTGGCTGGAAGACAAATTGAAGATTTATGGTCTAAATAAAGATCTAGAAGCCTGCATGTATTATGTTGATTTAGGGAAGATCTATATCTTTTGTGTTGTAGATGAGTGGGTACTAGGCTTGACATTTGAAGAAAATTTAGAAATCTAACTACTACTTTCATCTCATTAGAAGACTACCATAAATCTGGGTCACAGGGGTTCCTTTGTCAAAATTGGTTATATTTTGTATTAAAGGATGACAGAAATTACTTTGACCTAGAAATATTTCAGAATGGTTTTACTGATGATCCATGCTTCTTTCTACTTCCTGTCTTTGTTTGAATGGTAGAGCATTAATCACATGTATGTGCCTGTATAAAATGAATGAATTTTGAAGCATATCCCTGAGTAATTTTATACATTGGTTTGATTTTTGGCATAGTATATTTGGTCATTTATAAGACACATTGAACATTTCTTCAGTCAGAGTGCCTTTTATATTTGATGGTGTGTCATCGTTTTAATTGACCTCATTTTTTTTTCTTGGTATTAACATAAAAAGTTGGTGGAGTTGCAATCAACAGCATCTTAGATTTGATAAAATATGACAACATAGTAGAGAGCATTAAAGTTTAGAGACTATCTGCCAAACATTTTAGTTTTACTATAAGTAATGTTGAACCAGTCTTTTTCGGCAATAGTTACATGATATTACCTCTTCTCTCTTTACTATGACAATGGGTTATGCATAAATTTTATCTTAAAATAATGATAAACTCTTAAGTGGAGTTGAAGGTGGGAAAAGGGAAGATGGAATCTATAGAGAACCTCTTTTATGTTACCTAAATTATGATTTGGTGTGTGAGAAACAAATCTCAGTTAACCATAATTCTTATAAATTTGTAGAAGCAGTTTGTAGAAGTAATCTATGTGAAAATATAGTTAATTTCTGATCTTGCAGTCAAGAATGCATTGACTGATTGTTCATTTCTTTAATCAAAGACATGTATTGAGTACCTACTGTGATACTCGCAGTGTACTCAGCACTGCGAACCATCTTTTGTTGCTCTTGGTGGATTTCTTAATACAGTGAAACAGTACACAAAAAGGTCAGCAGTCAATTCATAGTGCCTGAAACCAGCTCCTTCCTCATATACATTATTGAACTGAGAGCTGAGACGGGCAGTTTCTTAAATAAAGAGGCTGTCTAAATGGAGAGCTGGATGCTTGACCACAGTGAGCACCCAATAAATACTTGTTGACTGTTGTTAACAGGAAATGGATGGGCTTATAGTTTTAAGTGATTACATGAGAAAAGGTTGGTGTCATAGTTAATTATTATTGAAATAGGAAGAGTGTGCATTGAGAACTATTAGGGGAATAATGGGAGCTTCTCAGTCCATTTTGGGCATTACTAACGTAAATTGAAAATGTAAAGCCTCACAGTTTCTCATTGCAGAAAACATGGATTTAAACACTGAAAACATTTCTAGAGGTATCATGATGAATCAAGAGTTGTAGAATTTAACAAGTTCACATAAATAAGGTTCCACAAATCAGCAGTCCTTTCTTTGAAATCAAGTGTAACTCAGATAATTAAGTCGAAATATTCCATCTATGCTTATGTGCATTTATTTTAATAAAGTCTCAATACCTAATCCTTGAAAGAGTGAAGCAACAGTATACTGAGTGGGAGTTGTAATCTGATGATGCATACTTTTTCCTCTGGTAACTGAAGGTTAAATGGGTAGCAAGCAGAATGCCTTAAACAAGATTGGTATATTGATTAAAGTGCTGATTTAACAGCTCGCAGTCTCCCCTTGGAAACCTGGAAAAGATAAGCCAGCTGCTGTCTAAGACTGCTCAGTGTCCGCTGAGAGTACACTATCTATCATCACAATATGGTGATGAGAGGTGTTTTATGTTTGTGTTAATTTCCCCCACTAAATCAGTAATTATTACAATCCTGTCCCTGCTGTTTACCCTGCAGCTGTTTTTCCATTTGTCGAGAGAGAGGGTGTTCTCTGAGGACCGCACACGTTTCTATGGTGCAGAAATTGTCTCTGCTTTGGACTATCTACATTCCGGAAAGATTGTGTACCGTGATCTCAAGGTAAAAAAGAAAAGTAATCAGAATTTGTTTTCGCAGAGGCTGTAGGGACAAACACAAAGTAATTACAAAGTTACACAGTTTGGAGAAAAGCAGATTTAGTTGGGAAATAAAACCACTCTGTTTAAGAATTTGGTTCACTGTATTTGACAGGAAATTTCATTCACTGATAAATGTGTAGTAGTTTTATGTCCGAGTTTTTGACATGCTAAATAAGTTCTTCTTGACTGCTCTGATCAAATATGATCTATCAATAATAGTTTCATTTTTCTGAAAGTGTAATGAGTAGTGTTAAACATCTGATTATAAGTCAAGTAACTTTGCAAGTGACATTTTAAAATAAATTTCATTATTATATTCTAACATCCTGTGATGTATTATGAAGAAATTTTTATAATAAATAAGATTACTTGGGGGAAGGAAAATATTTGATTTGGTATTAAATTTTTAGTGGGTTTAAATACCTGAAGCATTTTAATATAGCCTTTTATCAATTTGTTTAATTTCCATTTTGAAAAGCACTGTATTTGTTTTATCAGTAATAGTGACTTTATTTCTCTAAGTTTCTTTCTGTTAAGACCCTCAGAATAGCTCAGGGATTGGCAAACTTTCTGTGAAGGCCAGAGAGTAACTATTTTAGGCTTTGCTGCTCTTACAGTGTCTTTTACAACTCCTCAGTGCTGCTGTTGTAGGGTGAAAGCAGCCACAGACAATATGTAAATGAGCGTGTCTGGCTGTGTTCCAGTAAAACTTTAATTACAAAAACAGGCAGTAGGCAAGATTTCACCTACAAGCCATATTTTGCTGACCCCCGGAGTAACTCATAAAAGATAGCAGTAATTCTCGTGACACTGTTTTGAATTAGATTGGTCATATTAAGGAAATTTGTACCATGACACACTCTGAACAAGTTCTAAATGTGACAATCTTACTTTCTTAAAAAGTAAATCATATGATAATCTTGACCTATTAAAATCTGACACAGAATTGCTTTATTTATCAAGTACTAATTCATTTAAAATATGATTTGTAGAGATAGAAGTTATACTAGTCTTTTATGAAATTCTGTTTCTATGAAATAAGGCATATATTTACATATTATAGCACATAAGAGAAATCACAATTATCCCCTCGCTCCCATTCACTCCTTTTTAAACACCTGTGATTCTTAAGTTATCTAATTATTTAAGCAGTTGTCTAAGTTATTTTAAGATGTTGCTATCATATACATTTGTATTATGAATGATCCCTAAGAAGTAACTATCTCAAAAAATATTATTTTACATGATGACAGTGAAATATAGTATGTATTTTTTTAACATCTTTATTGGAGTATAATTGCTCTACAATGGTGTGTTAGTTTCTGCTTTATAACAAAGTGAATCAGCCATACATATACATATATCCCCGTATCTCCTCCGTCTTGCGTCTCCCTCCCACCCTCCCTATCCTATCCCTCTAGGTGGTCACAAAGCACCGAGCTGATCTCCCTGTGCTATGTGACTGCTTCCCACTAGCCATCCATTTTACATTTGGTAGTGTATATATGTCCATGCCACTCTCTCATTTCATCCCAGCTTACCCTTCCCCCTCCCTATGTCCTCACTTCCAAGTCCATTCTCTATGTCTGCATCTTTATTCCCATCCTGCCCCTAGGTTCTTCAGAACCTTTCTGACTTACTTCACTCTGTATGACAGACTCTAGGTCCATCCACCTCACTACAAATAACTCAGTTTCGTTTCTTTTTATGGCTGAGTAATTGTAATGAAATGTTTGTAATGAAATATAAACTTGTATATTTAGATCATTAAGGCAATCTATTAATATTACATTACTATATTCCCACAGCATTGCTAAGCACAACACACACACACACACACACACACAAACATGTAGTCATTGCTAAAGGAACTTAAATTTCTAAAGGTATGTTCCTTGCTTGAGGAGCAAAAAATTCATTTTTTAAATAAAAACAAGATTAGTTATTTTGTGTGATTTTTTAATGTTTCTAATAAAAATACTTTACCTTCAAAACTTTAAGCTTAATTTTCCTTATAAATAATTCTTTGGAAAGTATTTTTTAATTTAACTTTATTCTTTGCAGTACATATTTATTAAGTACCTAATATGTGCTACATGCTAGGCTTGGTGCTGAGGATGCAAAGCTACAGAGTATTTGTGCAGTCTTCCTCTTTCTTCTGTGCCTCTGCCAAGAAAAAAAAATTTGTCAGAAGCCTGAATCAGTAAAAGCATCAACAGTATGTTTACTTAAAACCTTTATAAAATTTCTCCCATTATGAAAGTAACAACAGTACATGTACATTGCAGAAAACATCAAAAAGTTATTTCAGTTCAATTGATAAAATACTTATTTATTGACTGCATGCTACAAGCTAGTCACTGTGCTATGTACTTAGTACGTGGCATGAGGAAGACAGATGGTCTCACATTTAGGAAGGTATAATGCTCTGGGAAATGGATATTAAACAAATTATTACAGGTAATTTTCAAGGTATAAAACAGAAAAAAATACTCTAAATCTTACCATCTAGCAATGATCACTATTACCATATTAGTGTATTTTCCTGTTTTTATACTGTACCCATAATTTCCATTTTATTTAATATTGTAAAATACATACTAGTTGCCTAGTAATTAATTATGCAGATGTAATTTATTAAATCCTTACTATATTTTTGAACGTTTAGATTGTTTTCATTACTTAACCAACTTTACTTAAGTATAAGCTGCATACAATAAAATGTACTCACTTTAAGTATACATAACTTATATGACTTTTGACAAACATCTATTCATGTATTCCCCATTACAAAAAGATGCAGAACATTTCCACTGCCACAAAAAGTTCTGCTATTCCTCTTTGCAGTCAGTCTTCCCTGTCTCATTCTGTCATCTCCTGCTTCTATACCTGGCCCTAGGCAACTACTGATCTGCTTTCTGATACTAAAGATTTGATTTACCTTTTTTAAATTTTAAGGAAATGGAATCATACAATATGTACTCTTTTATGTCTGTTTCTGTTTCTTTTGCTCAGCCTAATGTTTTTGAGATTATCCATGTCTCAGTAGTTTGTTCCTTCATTGCTGAGTCATGAGCATGCTATATCGATGTTTTTTAATCTGTCCTGCTTTTGGTGTACATTTGGATTGTTTCTAGTCATCGCCTACTATGAATAAAGCTGATATGCACATACATGTACAAGTTTTCTTTTTTCTTGGCTAAATACTGGGGAGTATAATTGTTGAGTTTATAATAAGCATATGTTTACATTTTGAAAAATTCCAAAACTGCTTTCCAAAGTAGTTGTGTCATTTTGCATTCCTAGTATCAATGCCACAAGAATTCTAGTTGTTCCATATCCACACCAACTCTTGGTGTGGTCATTCTTTTTAATTTTAGTCATTCTAATATGTATATAGAAGTATATTATTGTGGTTGGTTTTGAGTTGCAGTTTTTGATGACTAATGATATTAAATATATTTTCACATATTGGCCATTCGCATACATTTTTTTACCTGTATGTTTGAATATTTTGTCTATTTATTAATTGGGCTATCTTATTGTTAAATTATAATAGTTCTTTACATATTCTGGTTACAAATAGTTTGCCAAATGAGTGTATTATAAATAGTTCCTCTCAGACTGTACCTTGCCTTTTCATTGTCTCAGTGATATTTTCTGAGCAACAGAAGTTTTAAATTTTGAAATCCAATTTATCAGTTTGTCTTCTTTGTTTTTTTTAAATACTATCTAAGAAATCTTTGTCTATCATGGATGACAAATATTTTCTCCTATATTTCCTTTTATAACTTTTATAATTGTGCTATTACATTTAGGTTTATGATATTTTTTATTTATGCTGTAAGCTAAGGATTGAAGTTCATTTTTTATCCCATGTGGATATTTGGTTATTCCAGAATCTATTGTTGAAAAGTCTATCCTTTGCCCCATTGAATGACCTTGACACCTTTGGCATATGTGTGTGTCCTTTGCTCTAACACTTTTGACATATGTGTGTGTCCTTTGCTCTAACACTAATACTGCTGCACTATAGAGGCAGTATCCTCAAGGACTCTAGTGGGTGCCACATTTCTTAAGAAGTTTTCCCATTTTGCCTGGTGAGAACAAAAAGTATTTTTAGCTCTATGAGCCTGTGATTTTTTTCACCTGATTCTTTCCAATGGCTCTTTTCCCTGGCCTCAGAATTTTCCTCATATACGTGTGCTGATTAGTAAGACTCAGAGGCAGTTCATTGCAGGTCCCTGGAGTTCTCCTCTTTGTGGTTCTCTGCCTCATGAATTACAGCTACTTTGGCCTCCCCAGTCTCTGAACTCTCTATCCTTACTTCAAGAATTCCACAGGTTCTGTTTTGGTTTTCTTTCCCTGTGTTACATTCTGGATGGTCTCTCCAGGCAGCAAGCTGGAACAACCATAATTACCACCTTGTTTCCCTTTTCTTTGGAGTCACTGTACCTTGAAGCCTAATGCTTAATGTATGAAAATCCTTGTTTTATTTATTTTATATCATGGTCAAAACAGAAGTCTCTAACCTTTATATTTTATGGATATTTCCACTGGATGCAAAATTTTAGGATGCGTTTTTTCTCTTTCAGCAATTTGGACATATTGTTCCATTGTCCTTTCACTTATATAGTTTCTGAGAAGAAGTCTGGGGAAATTCTCCTATTCGTTCTTCTGTATGTATTGTGTTTTTTTTCCTTCAGAATTTTTAAAAGATTTTCTGTCACTGGTTTTTCAGCAATTTTAGTGTGATCTGACTGGTTATGTTCTGAGTATTCATGCCTGTTTGTTAGTTTTCATCTCACTGAGTTTCGTTGAAATACCTAGTCTGTGCATTTATCTTTTTTATCCTAGTTTGGAAAAATTCAGTCATTTTGCAGATGTCTCCCTCTCTCAGGATCTGCTGTTATCCATATGTTAGACTCCTTGACGCTGTTCAAGAGGTTGCTGAGATTTTTA